GGATAAGTTTAATGTGGCATTCGGAGCACGTTAACAAGCGTTTAAGTTGAGCTTTAAGGCCTGCTTAATCAATGTTGCACGGAAATGAAATAGTACCGCGCCGCATCGACACTCAACAGGCGCTGAACTGAAATCACGCTAGTTTAGCTAGCTTCCCCAAATCACAGCATTTTATAAAAGCAGCTCCCAACACAAAGACATTCAGCTTCTGCAACTAGCCCCATGCAATACGAGTAGAAAAAAATTCCAGCCACTTCACAGAATTTTAGTCACATCTCTACAATAGAATTTGAGCCATTTGACGCGCACTCTGTATGCTGATCCCATAAAATTTATTCATTGGACCATAAACTACGCTATTTGTCATCTGATTGGCTCCGATCTACAGGAAAGGAAACCAATAAATCCAGGTTATTTAGAGCTGTCTCAAACGCAGCATTAAATTTTGTCGCGAACTTTTCATTTAGTCTAAATAGAATTGAAAACTTATTAAACCACGCATTACTGTCGGTCGCGATGTTATAAAGACTGGCATATTTATGAAGCAAGAGCCTGGCAGACTACAATAAACATAAAATGCAGCCCATAGCGTCAGGAGGGAAGTGAGGCGGATAGTTATGTCCTTCGGGATTTTCTGATTGTATGGGGCAGACAGACATATTGGCATATTTCCTGCCTTTGGTGAAAGTTGGCAAGAACATTCAGTTCTGAGACCTCGGGAGCTTACGGTCATAGCCGGGCCAAGAAATGGTCTTTCAATGGTCGCCTCAAGTGTACCGAATTTTCCAGGATGGCTCAGTTATAGCCGACGTACGAGCAAAACTATAGTGTCCTGTGCGCGTGACAGACAACATTCTATGTAGGGCTGCGTTCTAGCTGGAATTATTTGAAAATCTTTATTTTTTTCAGCCACCACTTGGATATCAGCCAATGCCAAGATCCGTATTAGTGTCCAGGCCAGCGGCACGCTCGAGTTGGTGGCTGTGCGAATGCGTTTCACGGCGTCAGACATCTCGACGCCGTCGATTCGCCATTCGATCTGGATTTAATCTAATAAGCTAGATGTCATACCACATCTAGAGGTCACGCAGATGCACCTTTCCTATAAACCTTGACCAATCTCTCCTCAATGAAATAAGAGACCGTTGGAATGGAAGGTACAAGAAGAAGGTAGAAGGTAGAAGAAGGAATCCACTTCACTCGCCAGGTCTGGGGGTTTTAATGATTTCACGGGACTCTGTCTGCCGCAGATACGTCGTCCGATGACGTTATCAGATTGGGTACGCTCCAGTGAGCATTTCTGGCCGTAATGAGAGCCGGCGAGAAGTTGGCCTAATGAGGCCGGGAAGATTCCGCCCTTCAGCACTCATCAGGCCCGGTTCAAACTCGGTAAAGTCAGTTCGAACAAGCGATAACCAGTCGGGAGTAAGGCTATTTCTATCAATAACCGGGAACGAACGAAAAATAATTAGTCAGCCAGCCACCAGACACTTATTTGCAACCAACCACCAAAACGCCAGGATCACCCGCCCAACAACTGAAGGTAACTACTAACCGACCAACGGACGCTCAAGGTCACCAACACTAACGAACGTTCAAGGTCACCCAGCCAACGAACTCCAAGCAGCTTCAAAACTGCGCCAATGCACTGTTCCCTCGAGACCCATCACGCCGAACCACGAACCCTCCTACGCAGATTCCCCCACGGCCAGTCGACTGGTTAGTAGTTAGTTGTAGGGATGTCGACAGGTGCCACCCTGCGGTGACCTCGGCCGCATCTTGACCTGTCCGTCACAGCGCTCTACCAACCCGCACTGCAGCACACGCAGACCGGTGTAGCTGGTAGCGCTTCACCCACAGAGCAGTGCGGCGTCCCACAGCCGCCGACTCCGGCCGCTGCATTAGCCGGGTCGGGCCGACCCATTGCAGCGGCGCCGGAGACGCGCCAGTTTCGTCTGCGGCCGCGCTCATCGGAGCGTGATCGATGACAAACAGAGCAGTCACCAGAGGCGGCGGCTCAGTTCAGCATCCTCCGAATGGACGCCGGCCTTGGACGCGCCTCTCTCTCTCTCTCTCTCTCTCTCTCTCTCTCTCTCTCTCTCTCTCTCTCTCTCTCTCTCTCTCTCTCTCTCTCTCTCTCTCTCTCTCTCTCTCCCTCACGGCGCAGTGCAGCGGAGGGCGCTGTTTTCGCCGCGGCGCGCCGTTATCGCCGCCGGTGATTGATGCGCCGAGGCGATGGTGGCGCGCCGCCGCTCATCGTGTCATTAATGGCGCAGCAGAGACGTGCGGGCACGGCGGCGGCCGCAGAGGTCAGGCGCCGCCGTCAGCCGGGCAGGAGACGGGGCGCGGGCGCCGGGCACACAGGACCGTCCCGCGGGACGGCAGGCCCTGGCCCGCGAGACGCCGGACAGACACCGAAAACGGCGAGCCTTCGTGTATGGGGAGGTAGCTGCACAGTAGCAGAGCCGAATAAATATCGCATCGAGTTCCTCATTTGAACTGCCATCACATCGACAATATCGACGCCATCCGTGGCTCTGATTCCAGTGCAACAGATGTCAGCAAAAATGCACTACCTATTATCACAACATTCTCAAATGCCCGAGTATCGTTAGCCAAGTTGTAAACTGCCGCATCTCTCTTTCTCAGTAGGATTCACACAAGCGCACACGGCTGTATAACAAGGACGCAGTCGCCGACCCCGTTGTCCATGTCAACAACAGTATGCCTATATGCTGACAGACTCATAAGTGCAACGTATCCAGAACGCACATAACAAGTTGCGGGGAAACGCGGGCAAAAGGCTTCGATAGCGCCTAACGATGGGCGGGCTGATGGAGCCGCTATCGGTAATGGTGGCGATAAGACGGGCTAATGGAGGGCTCGAGTGGAGGCGGGCAGCGGGGAAGGCACGGGGCGAGGCGGCCTCTCAACTCGCAGTGCGAACCTATTTGCAGCCGTGCGCCGGCAGCAGCCACCCGCCGCCGGACCTCACCAGTCGTCCCTCAGTCCCGGCCCAGACCACGCGGCACTGGTTGGAAGATCACCGCATTGTGGCACATGATTCTAGCAAGAGCTACACGGTTCAAGAATACTAGAATAGCAAATGGACACTGAACAGCAACCAAATCTCTAAATCGCCACAATTTCTCAGAGTTGGCTGTAAACAAAGTGAAGCATGGTCTCTCCTTCAGATATATCTGGCTGTGTTGCCGGCACGAATGTAAGACTCGGTCCAATGGGCCACCATTTGTAAATGGATGGCGTCTGGCGCCGCCGGGGGCGGGGGCCGCACTGCTCATGTGGGCTGCATGCCACGTGCCGCGTGATTTGCAGCAGCCGACATGCAACGTGTGCCGCGGAAAATATTCAGTTCCTTGAGGCCATCAGTTAACACGCCACACTGCATTAGGCATAATGCGACTTTTCCTCGCTGTCGGCAATCTCATGCACGGCCATATATTAAACATGAATGCTACATTTCAATTCATTTCAATTAAGTATGCATTTTTGCGCTAACAGTTACTTTGCTGCATGTGATAGTAGCTCAGATAAAGTGGGCGCCAGCAATATTATCGAGAACCTAAAAGTTGAATAGTCTTTCACAAGGGCAAGGAGGTGTAACAACTATCTTTAAATCTAAAGGGACAAAGAACGAAGCGCGAACCACGGTCCTGGGACGCGCTCGCCGGACAACGCCGAGCGCGATAACGCCGTGTCTCTTTCATAGTTCATTCACTAGTTAGTTCCCTCTCTTCCTCGCTAGTTCCCTCTCTCCCTTTCTTCACTTGCGAAAAATGGTGTATCTCAATCATTCAATGTGATAAATGGTGCTAGATCATTGGCGAGTTGGGAAAGACGTCAAAGAACGTCAAAATATGCAATGATGTGCCACACATGAATAACTGAAAACACCATTTCAGTGAGCCTACACGGTCCACACCAGACATATAAAAGGCAGGACGGTACCGGCGGACCCGTCACAGAACCCCAAAGAAGCTTAGTTTGCATCCATTCCACGCCCGCTGATACTACTGGGGCTACTTTGGGCACCACAGGGCCGTCCTGTCCTGTGTCCCGGGCGGCGGGCGGAGGGGCAGTGTGCCGGGCCCCCACCGTCCGCTGCGGGCCCCGCGCTCCCCTGGCCCTGTGCCAGCCGTTTATAGATATCGTGCTGCCGCCGGCGCAGCCTGCCAGGCTAGGAGAGCGTCTCGGCGGCACAGCGAACGGCCGGCCGAATCACAGCGCGCCATACCGCCCGCTGCAGACCGGACCCGCGGGACCCGGGAGCAGCAGACCGAGTCCAAACGGCCGTCAACTCCGCCATACCGAACTGCCGTACCAACAATAGCCATTCATGGAGCGAACTAAATCCTGCACCTACGGAACTGGGCTGGCCCGAATCACGACCGAACAATATATCGGAGCGGCCGCGAGTCGCGCCAGAAAGTTTCTGGAGTAGGGTTTATAGAGCGTACCCCGCAGGTCGTTATTGAATATCCGTGGTTAGAAAAATGTGTAGACGACGCGGACCAGCACACCAGCCGAGCTGGGACTGGACAACAATCGACTGTCCGCTCACACACCAGAGTCTATCGGAGCGAGATTAGCTCAGAGGAAATAAATACGTCATGTAGTAGACAGCGGCCTTGAGTCTGCACGGCACTGAAGGGCTGTTTGCGACTACCCATTCCACGCCAGGTGAGGGGTGCCAAATGCACAGCGGAGGGACTGAGGACGAGGGGTGACCAAACCGACAGCGGAGGGACTTACGTTAGCCACCGACCCGGCGAGACGCCACCAAACTCACGGCGGAGGGGCTGCTGGTACTGACAAGTGCTAATCCCCGTCTCAGAGCCCGAGGTGACCCTCTCTGAGACCCGGCAAGGTGCAGCAAAACTCACCTCACAGCGCCTGTCCCCACCCCCACCTCCCGCTTCCCTCAGCACCACCTCACAGCGCCTGTCCCCACCTTTCCCCTCCTTCGGCACCGGACTTACCTCAATGTCAGCCTCCTCGTCGCTCTCGGCGAAGTCGGCGACAAACTCCTTCTCCAGCTCCTCCTCGAGCTCCTCTTCCTCTTCCTCCTCGCCCTCTGCGTCCTCCTCCTCGTCGCTCTCGACGCCCTCCTTGGAGAGCACCTTGTCGAAGGTGGCCTGCGGAAAATTGTACACGTCCCCGTACTGCCACAGAGCGGGCAGACGGGCACAGAGTGTCAGTCACATTGCGCGTCCTTGGCGCTTCCTAACAGTGATCTAACTTACTCCGCGTTTTGGTATTGTACGCAGGCACATACAACGTCACGCCAGTGTTTATATTGCACACACTTGGACAACAGGCTGGCAGTGGTGCTACGGCAGTGGAGCAGTTACACCGACACGGATCAAGACAAATAGACAATTACGGCGCACCAATCTGATTACAGGCAAATGACGACCACCGGGGCGCCGCGGCGCGCCGGCACGGTGCGCCCGCCGAGGAGCCGGGTTTCGTTAGTCTGCAGCCAGTCCCGCGGAGGTCAATACCGACCGAGAGGCCGCGCCACTCGAACCGGAGCCTCGAGGGCGTGGAGATGTGCAGAGCCGTCTAAAATGCTTGGTCAGAGCACTTCTGCTCATCTCACTCTCCCTCGCTCCCCTCTCCCCTCTGTAAACGGCCATCTTCCGCCAGCGAAAAAGGGAGCAGGAGATGAAGCCTATCGTTACGAAGTTCCAATCAGAGCTCCAACAAGGAAAAATGAGCAAATGGAACGTTTGGTTCAAGAGAAGAAACGGATTTCATACGAGCAGCTATCCCTAGCATCAAACAGCCGACGAGCATTGACACATTGTCAGAGCTTGTCTCTAGATGCAGCCGTGGACAAGGACAATAGCGCGGCAGGGACCACTCAGCTCGGGTTCAGAGCGTCCCTGGATGTAGCACGCGCAGCAGGTCGGGCCACCCAGTATCCGCGTCGCAGAGTCCCGGCTCGAGCGGCCCGCTGCCGGCTAATGCAGCGTGACGCCAGCGGCTGACCGTCTCCGCGCCGTAAAATCTGGCTAACCCCCAGTTCGACTCAAGCGCCGCTCGGCCCGTTAATTTCTGCTAACGCTCCCAGAGAGACACGTTAGGCACAAGTTTGCGACAAGACGAGCCCCGGCTGCCGGCGAGTTAGCGCGGCGCCGAGGGCCACGGGCGGAGCTGACGAATGTCCGGACGAATGGCCGCCGGCCCCTCCGTTACTAAGGATCGAGGCTATTTCAGAACATAGAGAGTACAGAGCCTCTATAAAAGTTCGAGTAAAACAATCTAACGTAAGAATGACATCTAACTGGTGTTCAACTAGACAAAAAGGACGACTTACTTCTTAAATGGAGTCTTATGCACGGTATTGACCGTGATAAGATCAGATTTAATCAGCTAAAGCGACAAGCGGTAGAGCATGCGTTCAACGCTACTAGGTGCAAAAAGAGCCCATATTTTTACTCTTGAGCGAAATTCCAAGCCCATGAGACAAAGGAGCAATCTGCAGTCTGCACTTTGCTTTCAAAGATTGACGCATCTTGAGGTTATGAAATAATATTTTCGGAGTTTCTTGAGTGATATATATTGAAAAATTGATAGCAAATATTTCGATACTCGTAGTGGTACCTTTTTCAATGCGAGTGAAATCGCATTGAAAAAGGTACCACTACGAGTATCGAAATATTTGCTATCAATTTTTCAATATATATCACTCAAGAAACTCCGAAAATATTATTTCATATTCATTATAACTTGAGGAAAAGGTAACATGACTCTTAAGTCATACATCTTGAGGTTCGTGAAAAAGAAGTGATGATCTAAGACCCAACGTTAATTTTTCAAGAAAAAAGTTTAACGTGCAAGTTTTCTATGAGATGAAAGATCGTTACTTCGCATGCCCACAAAGGTTTAGCCAAAAAGGACTGAGAAGATTTTAAGCCCAGCAGGCAGAGGTACAGCTCCAGATATCGCTGAACCATAAAGCCAAGCAACGCATACAAATTTCAGTAAAAACGTTATTTTTCACAACAATTGAACAGTGGACAATGACTGTGACGTCAGTTTTCCCCAGCGTGTTTCTCAGTAAGATTGCATTAAACACACAATCCTCGCGGCACCGCTGGTAGCCCCAAACTGACACCAGGCGCTATGTCTGATTGGTCCAATCCATTTCCGCTGGCCGCCTCACAATGCAGCCCCGCTCAGCCGAACACCTCCTTTCAGCCGCTATCGCCTCCAATGCTGCGTCTGAGGTGCTCAGCTGGTGGTCTGTGGCTGGTAATAGAACTGGGCCAGAGAGGAGAAACCCCGCAGACCCGCGCGGCAGTGGACGACACACGGGCGCGGCGGGCCGGCCCGGTTGTCAGTACCCCCAGCCACCCCGAGCTGCGAGCTGCCGGGACCGGCGACAGCGGCCGGCAGCTCCCTCTCTCCCGTCCGACAGCTCCCCCTCTCCCGTCCGACAGCTCCCCCTCTCCCGTCCGGCAGCTCCCCCTCTCCCGTCCGACAGCTCCCCCTCTCCCTCTACGACAGCCACCGGCCGCTCTCCGTCTCCTGTCCGGCATCTCTCTCGTCCGGCAGCTCCCCCTCTCCCGTCCGGCCGCTCCCCCTCTCCCGTCCGACATCGTCCGGCCGCTCTCCCGTCCGACAGCGTCCGGCCGCCCTCTCGTCCGACAGCTCTCCCTCTCCCGTCCGACAGCGGTCGACCGCTCTCCCGTCCGGTAGCTTTCCCTCTCCCGTCCGACAGCGGCCGGTCGCTCTCCCGTCCGACAGCTCCCCCTCCCCCGTCCGACAGGTCTCCCTCTCAGATAGCGGCCGGCCGCTCTCCATCTCCCTCTACGACAGTCGCCAGCCGCTCTCCCGTCCCAAAGCTCCCCCTCTCCCGTCCGACAGCGTCCGGCCGCTCTCCCTCTCCCGTCCGGCAGCGTCCGGCACCCCTCTCGTCCGACAGCGTCCGGTCGCTCTCCGCTCTGCAGGGAGTGGTAGCCCGCCGTTCCCCATCCCAGCCCGGCCAATGGGCTTTCAAAACCCATCATCAGCTGAATCGACCACATTCTGCCACAACAATGCAACAATACACCTTTCAGTGGGCTCGAAATAACGAACGAAATGGGCAGTGTCGTCAGCAGAAATACGGCTATGACGAGCTGAGACATAGTGCCGCGGCCGCCGCCTAATCCCGGCCCCAGAACACCCCATAAAGCCGGATACCACTGTTAACGACCCGCTTATGACGAGCCGCCACCAGCCGTGCCCAAATTACAACAGCTCAACGGACAACTGCCCGCTTTGATGTCCTCCGACGCGAGTCATGGCAGCCGTATCTGGGCCCCGGTGTCATGCATGCTTGCAGTGCCGCTCACGTAGCGCTGCTAGCGGCGCTATCGCGTCCCAGTCCGGCCCGATAGCGCCCCGTCACACGGGCCACACCGCACCCGAGCAGTGCCATCGTCCGAACGACACCGTCCGGCCCGGCCGACCGGCGCATCGCAACCGCTCCGTGGCGGCTCCAACGGCCGAGCTCAGGCGGTACCACTGAGAGGGCCATCTAACAGACCACGGAGGGGCCATCTAACAGACTTTGGAGGGACGATCTGACAGGCTCTGAACTCACTGAAAGGATGAGCTGACACATTGGAGGGGCGACAGACAATGGAGGAGCGATCGGACGGGCTATGGAGGGGCGACCTGGAGGGATAATCTGACAGACTGAATGGGCAATCTAACAGACTATGGAGAAACGATTTAAACAGTCATGTAGGGGCGATGGAATGATCCAACAGACTCCAAAAGGAAGATTTAATAGACTATAGAGGGACAGTTTAAAGACCTTGAATGGCGATAAGACAGAAGAATAAACAGGGGAGGTGGGATCCTGATGTTACGGCATAATCCGTAATATCGCCATCGGTATCATATTTGTTAGACGAAAGTGATAATCTTAGCTTTACCATATTCCACACTATGTGATAAGAACTGAGAAATGAAGCGTCAGCACGGTCGTAAGTAGAACCATGGTTCATTCGGTCATTTTAGATTCATAATTTTACACACCAAGACATGAGGGCACTACCAATTACATTAGCTTTTATTACCCACTTCGTCGCACTGACATTGACGTCATTTCAGATGAAATCAAGGCCAAACGCGCCCAACAAAAAGAGTCTTCACCGACAGCTGAAACCAATCGTCAGTCCCACGGCTTCTGGCTCTGTGAAAAACGCTGACGTGCTGCAATACCGTATCACGACTCCTACGTGACCTTGACGTGTTGGTTGGCTGCGCACCCGGGCATTGGTCACTGGTCACTGGTCACCCGCCGTCAGTTACGGGAAGCCATTGGCAGAAGTGGTGTCACTCGCGCCGCCGTGCCGTGTCAACCCCCCCCCCCCCCCCGGTGGGAGAGGGACGACCTGCTGCCCCTGCGGCGAAAAATGCAGCCCGCCTCTCCTCGGGACAACCCAGGGAGAGCCCCAGGAGCGACCTGCTGCCTCCCGAGGAAAGGCGCGACCCGCCTCACCTCGGGACCACTCTAGGGAGCCCCAGGGGCAACCTGCTGCCCTCCGCGGGGAAGAACACGACCGACTCCCCCGGAACGCCGAACGCCGCTGGCGGCGAGGATGAAGATACAACGGCGTCAAGGACAGAAAGCGCACGTCTCCCTCTTAATCTGGACACACTTTCACCTTATTTCCCATCAGAGTCCTAGCAAATCTATGGGCAGCAGCCATCCACCGTAGCCGGTGACTTTCTCCGGCCAAAGCTGGTCGTTTGGCCGGTGACCCTGTGAGCCGTTTCTCAGTGGCCGGTGACCCTGTGAGCCGTTTCTCAGTGGCCGGTGACCCTGTGAGCCGTTTCTCAGTGGCCGGTGACCCTGTGAGCCGTCGTTTCTCAGTGGCCGGGAGCCCAGCTGTGATCCGTTTCTCAGTGGCCGGTGACCCTGTGAGCCGTTTCTCAGTGGCCGGTGACCCTGTGATCCGTTTCTCAGTGGCCGGTGACCCTGTGAGCCGTTTCTCAGTGGCCGGTGACCCTGTGAGCCGTTTCTCAGTGGCCGGTGACCCTGTGAGCCGTCGTTTCTCAGTGGCCGGGAGCCCAGCTGTGATCCGTTTCTCAGTGGCCGGTGACCCTGTGAGCCGTTTCTCAGTGGCCGGTGACCCTGTGAGCCGTTTCTCAGTGGCCGGTGACCCTGTGAGCCGTCGTTTCTCAGTGGCCGGGAGCCCAGCTGTGAGCCGTTTCTCAGTGGCCGGTGACCCTGTGAGCCGTTTCTCAGTGGCCGGTGACCCTGTGAGCCGTTTCTCAGTGGCCGGTGACCCTGTGAGCCGTTTCTCAGCGGCCGGGAGCCCAGCTGTGACCGCGGTGGTCGGTGAGGGCGGCAGACGGGCGCGATCCGTCACCGACCAGGCTCAGATGGCCGCCGGCGCCGGATCCTCGAGTCGGATAACGCGGCTGGTACAACAGCGGTCGCGGCTGATCGGGGAGAAAATGCGGGCGGTGGGGCACGGAGCGATGGGCGGTGGGGCAGGGAGGGATGGGTGGTGGGATGGGGTACGTCAGGTAGTGGGAACCTACACATGCCATGAACGTTTACGCTTACCCCGTCATGCTGTAAAAGAAAACGACCTATGCATTGGCAATAACAGCTTTATCGAAAGTCAATGACTGAACCATCTGCAGGTCGAGTTTAACGACTACCTAGTCATGAACAATCAATGCAGGTAAATTAAAGTGCATGCATGCCTTATTGCCAACAACATGGACCAGGAACCCTTTCGAGAAAGCACATTTACTGTCCAATCGGCGTCATGCCGTGCGACTGTACGGAGACCGAGGGTACGGCACTGCGCTGTCTCCCTGTGTGTGTGTGTGTGTGTGTGTGTGTGTGTGTGTGTGTGTGTGTGTGTCGGAGGTGAGGTGGGGGTGGGGACACGGTCACCGATAGGTCATCTCCCGTGTAACGACACGCACCTCCGGCACGACACGGCACATTGTCCCCCGGCACGCGGCCGAGGGGAGGCAGCGCGACGGGGTACCATGGCAGGCACCGTATAGTGCGCACTTGCGCAGCGCAAATCACGCGATGGCATGGAGGCGCCAGGCATAACTGCTACTGTATGTAGCCTACTGAAAGCATCGCATCACTGAGTGCTACCTGCCCCAGCGGTGGGCCGAATAGTTTGGGGGTTACTGAGAGAACTGGCCTATGGCTGACATGTCGTTCAGTCAGGTTATAAGTATAATTATGGACGGCTATGAATTTCAGCGCATTAATTTAGGAGTCTAGCGTCAGTTTTAGTGCCGGCAGTGTTGCAGAGTGGCCGCATCTATCGTCGCTATCAGAGAGGTCCGTATATTGAACGCCGACAGATGGCCTCTATCAGCAACACTGGACTGAAAACGCCGATAGCTCAGGGCGTGACTCCCGTGGGACAGTCGACTTTCCTCCTGCTGACCTGCTGGCCGACCGGACAGAGCATCCCTGGACGAGGTCACTGTCAAAGGAACCTGGTCCCCAGCCGGGCGCCCAGCTGCACGAACCGGCCGCTCTCCGGCACAGCTCCCTGTTGACCGCTGGCCGGGCGCTCCCCGTTAGTAAACCGGCCGGTCTCCGGGCGCGCCCCGTTCGTAAACCGGCGGCTCTCCCCGGCCAATCGGTTCCCGGTGACGGCGGCGGCGTAAAAAGCCGCGGCGGCCGTGGCGGCACGCTCAGCGGCCGATCAATCACCGAGAAAAATGACGCGCCGGCGCCAGTGACGCGCGGTCGGCGCCGATTCGCGACCGCCGAGCGGCGCCGGCGACCGCCGCTCGTTACGATCAGGAAATTAATCCCAGCCACCGGCCGACGGCGGACGGCTGCGCGCCGGGTCATGGCGTGAGTCGCCGCCGGCCGGCCGGGGCTCATCGCACCGGCATGTAGACCATGCCGATCGACACAACAGCCATAACTCGCCGAACAAAGCCCGTTTGAAACATGTCCGGAACACTGGTCCGTCCGAGCGGTTGTGATTGACGGCCGCAGCACACGCAGCTCCGTCAGTCCCGGCGGCCACTCGGCGGCGGCAAACACGACAAAACAGAAACAACCGGCTGCAATTAGATGCCGGCAGTCCATTTAGTGGATCGACGGCCGTGCGGCAGGCAAATTCCAGGCGTCACCCATTTGATTGGATCACGAAGACATTACGGGCTTTGCACATGCACAACAAGCGTCGCTGAAATGACTGAATCAAACCGCGCAGCAGCAGAAGCCGGCAGGGTTGTTTCCATGGCTGTTGGGTGCAGCCATGGTTCGCCCCCCCCCCCCTCCGTCTGTCTATCGCCGTCGGCACTCACCGTGCCCTTTTTCAGCCTCTCGAGCAGCTCCTTCTCGATGGCTTTGTCGATGTTGGCCGCCACCAGGGCCTTGTCCTCCCTTCGGACCTCGCGGCGCTCCACCTTCCTCGGCAGCGGCACCAGCTTCTTCCTGTCCAGAGCACACACACAGACGGGCGCGTTAGAACAGGCTGACAGACACAGACACAGTAGAACAGGCCGGCTACATAGACACAGAGCAGAACGTAAGAATAGGCTGACTACACACTACACAGCACGTCAGCTACAACACACCGACTTAAGAGCTACAGATCAGAACGTTAGAAAAGTCTGACTACGCAGCACGTCGACTACAACACACCGACTTAAGAGCTACAGACCAGACGGGCACGTTAGAACAGGCTGGCTGCACAGACACAAACTTGCATGATAACTCGGACAGACAGACAGGCTACAGCACACATATAGCGCGGCTGCGGGCACAGACTCCAGGCTGAAGCGACCCGTAGCAGTCACTCAGACACACAGTCCGTCCCTTGTAGTCTACAGACTGGAGACGACAGGGTCCCGTACCGCCGTACTGGCGAGGTGGGCATATACTCATAACGCTGTGTCCTTTTAGAGATGCTGTAATATGGTACGATAGAGCATGCTGTAAGCTTATTTTGACATTACGACTTCACACAAATTCGACTCTTATATCGTATGTATGGAAAGAGGAGCACACTGAGTGTCTTCTGAAGTTAAGTCAGGACCGAGTTCAATAGACACATGGTATCTGGCCTATCTTGATGTGGATTCTCTATCGATTCATAATAAATCAAGCTTCTGCGGTAGCAGGCACCCGCCACTAAGACCTGGAGCTGAGACGACTGAACGGTCCTTAAAGCCATCCTCACATGGCCATTGGGTCTCACCAGTTGAATAGACTACCTCTCCTCGCTCAGCAACAGACAATGCCATATGCCGGCTCCTCACCATTCATCCGCGGATCGTTGACAAGGCACATGTATCATTCTGGCGAATTTCACCTCCGGCCGGCAGCTAAGTGAGCTCCGAGCAGCAGCGACCATATCTCTCTCTGACTCTGACCGGTCAATGGCGACCCATTTCCGACCGCTCCATGGATGAATGTCGTCCCGGCAGTTGACTAATCCTCCTGCCGACTGCGGCCGCCGCCCCGGCCGGCATTATTGCGTCAGTCCCGCGGCGCAGTGCGACTCACAAACATCCCAGTCGCATAAAGCCCGCTCGGCCGCCTATCTGCCACCGCCGACCGATGTACCCGAGCTATCGGCCAACTTTCCTATTGTTCAACTTCTGTCGGCCGGCGGGGAGTTCTCTCATCGATACCGCAGCAGCCAGCAGGCCGGCCGCGTCCCCGGCGGCGCTCAGCGCCGCCGGCATGTCAGCAAAGCCACAGAAAAACAGCCGCCGCCGCTGATCCGACTGCGGGTGACAGTGGAGCGGCTCGGCGGCGGCCGGCGCGCTGCCCGTCACCCGGCGACAGCGGCGCTGGCGCGGCGGCCCGCCGCCTGGAGCGGTAGGCTGTGCCGCCGCACACGCAGTCGGACAGCGGCCGAGACGGGCACGCCGCTGAGCCGACAGCAGTTCCCAACAAAGCCGAGCCAACCGACCTTATCGCCGACTTTCCATTACAGTGTGATTGAGCAAAAAGCCTGATCATAATAGGCTGAGCGGAGCGAGCAGCTCCAAGCCGACCAATCTACTGGCCAATCGCAATTCGTCGGATTACATATCGCCGAACGGCCATTGATGGTAACATTTCAACGAATGAACTGCCGTTATGATAGTAAGCTTTCTCGTCTCACATACTTAGTGGAGGTATTCGACGCAATAAATGTCTGGTCGCCAACTGACATAAGCCCAAAGCGCCCATAATGATACGGCGCTGGAGAGAAAATTCAACATTTGCGAGTTCGTGCATGTGACTGTCGTGGCTCATCCCTATCTGTAACAAGTCACGCAGTGGAACGATTTTAAAAAGGAAGCGATGCAAGAGCTCACCAATAATGGCAATAATACTCGCAATCCATATACATACACAGCTCACTTAACTGGCTCTATGAAAAGCAGCCACTCAACATTTTTTTTTCTGTCATGCATAACAACACAATTTGTTTATAGAACTGCCGGACGGGCCGTTGTGAGGTCGTACATTAGCAACAAGACCTGCCGACCGGCCCGTTTCCCACGCCGGTGTCCGCGCTCCCAGGGCCGCCGGAGCCCGGAGGCGCAGCTGACCGGCCGCCGGCAGCAGCGGAAATAACCAAACAATAAGGCGCCCGGCGGACGGGCCCAGCGAGCACACCAGACACAATGAATTAGGGGGCAGGGGCGGACAGAGCGCCTCTGGCCGGAACATGGCGGCTGCCCCGAATATCGGTCCCTCCAGTGGCGGAGCGGATACAGCGGCAGATAGAGACGGGTGCGGGGAAACTGATTGGGAAAATACAAACGGAAACAGGGAAACAGCGACGGGGATACAAACGGAAACTGGAAATGCAGCTGCGCCTACAAGCACTCATACCGAAGCTGGAGGGCCGAGAGATACAGGCAGCAACAGGAATGCCTCTGCATAATACAAATACGAACGCTGAGAGGTCGAGGATTCATACAGAAGCCGGACAAATACAGAACGGAGCTGGGGATGTACGGGAGATAAGCAGCAAAGCAGAAACAACGGACCCGCAAACGGGAAGCATATACAGTAGCCAGGTAGCAACGGCATGGGACGAAGAAGGAATATCAACGGGGTAAGCAGAATAAAAAAAACGATAGGAAAAAATTGAGAAGAGCCAAGAAACAAACAGAAATGAGATGCGACATCGGACGGGGCTAATCAGGAAATATAGACGGAAGGCAAGGCAGCACTGAATGGACGACCGAAATGGAGGCAGAGGACTGATAGCTCATATTTGACGACTGCACAGCTGGGTGAGGTCATGCATGCGACGCCCAGCAGCTGTCTCCAAGCGCCTGGGATCGGCAGCCGCCGAGCCTGAGACACAACAGCGCCCGTTCATCGGGCAGAAGCAGTGCGGCACTCACGGCCGGCGCCGCTTTATGCCTCTTAGGGAGTGGGCCGTAAATATCGGCCGGCCCAGCGCCGGGACGGGGGTGCCGGGGACTGGGAGGAGAGCACCGCGCTGCAGCTGGGTGGGCGGTACAGAACCGGCAGCCGATCGGCCAAGGGTCGAACCACAGGATCTGACAACACCCTCTCACCCACCCCAAATCATATCTTTATTCACATTCGCCCATCACCACCAGTTTGCTCACAACAAGCAAATAACGCGACGGTCTAGACGTTTCCCTTCAGTCTTCATAACTTATTTTAAGCCATTATTAAATTTCAGAAAGGACGAGTCCTTACTGAAAGAACGAGTCCTTTCAGTAATGATAACAGCGTTGTGGTGCCAGCCACTTAGCGACAGGCACTGCGCTAGTGCGCGCTCATCCACATGCACAGAGAAGAGTGAGTGAGGATTCATCATTATTCATTAATAACCATCCACTGGGGGCCTTCGTTAGTTTCACTACATTCTTTCAATTCCTTGCAGCTCTCTCTCTCTCTCTCTCTCTCTCTCTCTCTCTCTCTCTCTCTCTCTCTCTCTCTCTCTCTCTCTCTCTCTCTCTCTCTCTCTCTCTCTCACTCTCACTCTCACTCTCTCTCTCTCTCTCTCTCTCTCTCTCTCTCTCTCTCTCTCTCTCTCTCTCTCTCTCTCTCTCTCTCTCTCTCTCCGTCTCCCTCTCCGTCTCTGTCTCTGTCTCTGTCTCTGTCTCTGTCTCTGTCTCTGTCTCTGTCTCTCTCTCTCTCCATCAGCCCGATATCCTGATAGTCGCTCCACTGAACCCGCCGACATTCGGCCGCAATGGGCGCAGGAAACTTTCCGAATTCAACTACCGGCCGACCAGTCCGCAAAACAAATCGCAGACATCGGCGCTGCTGCTGAGATCAATAGCACAACATCTGCTGCACCGGCCCAGAAGCGGCACCGCAGAGCGCCGAGAAATGTCCCGCTGGCTCGGATCGCGTACGAAAGCTCAGACCGACGAGCGCGCGCTGCAGCCGGCCATCCGTCTTCCAGCCATCGCCTCCTCAGCAGAGCAGCGCAGCCTGACAGGCCTCCGTTTACCGGCGGGTGTTTTTCCTACCGGCCATCCTTTCTTAAAGCGTCGCCGGTCTCCGTGTAATCTTGGCTCTCCGAGACGAAATAAAGCGCAAAAGGCGTGGACATTCTACTCAACACCACACAGTAGGCGGCCACCAGAGGACAGCCTCCATTTGCCATTTGCACTGGTTGGTTGGGACCATCCCATCCCGCCCCAGCCCTCTCCGGTCCGCCGTAGCTCAATGGCGGCGTCCGCGTCGCATTGCTCAGCGCTATCGGTGCCTCCCAGGCGGCCGGCGCCGGCGACGGGCCAATGTTTCAGCCGCCGTCCCCGGTACGGGCGATACAGTCCCTTCACGCCGGGTTACCGAACGATCCCATTTGCCGACAAATGAGAGTGCTCGGCCGCCGCCGACTGTCGATTCTATCTTCCGAGTCAGCGCGCCGGCCGAACGAGCGCTCACGTGGCACCATGCCGCGCCACCTGGCTCGTAATTCACCGCATTAGTCTTCAACGCGCCGCCGCAAGACCCACTAGTTGAGGAGGGAGCGCGGCCGGGGTGGTGGCTGGATGAGGGTCGGGGCTGAAGTGCCACCATTCCGCTCCGTTGCGCTCCTGTCGGCTCAGAGACAGTTGTCTCCGATCACCAGTGGGAGCGACACTGCTCCGCACTCGGCAGTCAAACCCAGCCACCGCCCTCCAGCCATCTCATCAGGAGCGGGCGAAAGCTCTCCCGGGGGTGGCCGAAAACGACAAATCTCCATTGGCTGGGGCTAGGAGGAACGCCAGCCGCATACAAATTAGAAACATAAATCAGGGTTAGGGCCGCGACACTTCTTGTGGAATAGAAGTATACATCATCCAGGGAGCTAACGGAATAACGACAATTCTTTCCACCCCTTTCAATGGCGAGTTTTGGACCAGCGATACAAATTCCAACAACGCATTAAATATACGACTCGTAAATGTTTAGTCCGCAAATGTTTGTTTGTTTATTGGGGCTTAAGGGCGCGTCGACAGCAAAGGTCATTTTGCGCCCATTGTTCGCCAATGGTGAACACGAACATTTTTTTTTTCTTGACGCAAATAACGCACGCTCGTCCACTCCATATCACATTCTTATTCACATTCGCCCATCACAACCGGTTTGTTCAGAAACGGCAAAGAACGCGACGGTCTACGACGTTTTTCTTCACAACTTCTTTCCGGCCGTAATTAAATTTTAGATGCATCACATGCTAATACGTCAGCGAGATAAGTGGAAAATCCGCCGCTAAAGGGTGCGCTGAATCGAAATGATGCGCTCGCTACCTTTGAAGTCTCTGCATTTTTAAAATAAGACCACCACTGGTGGCTGAATTTTGGAGCTCTAATCATTTAGTCGTAAGCTAGTGAGTGTATTTCATTGCATAAGCTGCATTTGTTAAAAAACTGTTGGCGACGAATAAAAGGTGATCTTACATTAACCCGCGCGGGGCTGGGGTCTCCAGCCGAACGCGCGGGGCTGGGGGGGGGGGGTAAATTTTACCCCCCTGTTATCTCCCGAACTAATGGTCCGATTTGGAAAATTCAAACGCCAATCGAAAGCTCTCATCACGAACTACTAAAAAAATGTACTTAATTTAAAGTTTGAGGTCAAGGTCAAGGTCAGGTCAAGGGTACAAATTGCAAGTTTCTACAGTATCGGCCTTGCACCGTAGTTGCCGAAGAATGGAGTCATGGACTGAGACTGATCGCCCAAAACGTGTTCTTAGGCTACCAAGACAATAT